CATACCAAAAAAGAATTACCTTAACTATACAGACTTAAAGAAAATTACATTCAACTTTAGCTTGGCCAAGCTAAACTCCTTGGTTGCTGACAAAGAAAAAGGTTCAGTGTTATTTTAAATGTTTTATATCTTTACTTATTTGTCTGCATCAGACAGCAATTTAAAGTCATTTATAGTTCATGGATCCACTTAAAATCTGTATTTCCCTGACAAATTTCTGGTACAAGAGTCCTTTCTCCCTCCTATCTTATCTGCTCTTTTACTATCTTTTACTCTCAAAAACCTAGTGGGGAAAAAAAATATCCTGCTCTATTATGCCTGACACTTCAGGGCCTCAGTCCCAGTGTCACCTGTCCAATTACTCATTAGCTAGGTTATAAAACACTGCTGTATGTATGTGTGATTAAAAGAATTAGTAATATGAAATATAAGGGTACCAAAGAAGTGCTGACCGTGCAAGAATAATATATGTGTTTGTGGGTTATGAGAAAAAAATTCTCCTGAAAGGTCCTGTTTCATGTTCGATAGTTTATTGACTCAGTAATATATCAGGTCTCCACTGGTCAGTAATGGTGTTCTTTCTCTAATATGTTCATTAATTAATGAACTCAGTAATTAATTGTGCTGCAAGAAGAAGGGCTTAGAAAATGGTCTTCTTATTTTACCATAAAAGGCTTTCTCACATTCACCACCTTTTTTAAATCTCTGCATCAATCTGACACATTTGTTATATCTGATGTTATTTTATCTTGTTTGTGTGTCACTTACAGTATGTATAATAGGAGTAATACAGTGTATGTACACATACTAGGTGAAACTGTGTCATTTGGTAGAGTTGCTTTATTAAGGCTCATCAGCATTTCCATTACAACCCTACCTATTTTTGGCCTAGAGGTTAACAAGTTGCTTGTAAAAATTGGATTCAGCTTGAACCTGAAATACAACGTTTCAGCCTAGGAGTGAGTTTTATTACACACATTCAACAATGAGCCGTTTAGCCATTATAAATTATAGGATGGGAGAAAAAAAGTTTAGAGGTTTCAGGTTTCTTTTCCTCTTCCCTGAGTTAAAGAGAGTCTTGACGGTGTGAAATGTTGAAGGAGATTAACTAATTAGTAAGATTTTTATCTTTTATACATAACCCCCAAAAATTCAGGCAAACTTTCCAGAAATGTGAAAATGTCAGCTTGTTCCTCAAACAGCTAAATTTGAAAAGTCTTCAAAAAGAGCAATACATTTTTATAAATTAATATGGATTGGCATGAGAAACTCCCAAGATAAGTAGCATGGCCAAAACATTCAGCCTGGCCTTACTTGGCCACTTTTTCCACAAAGGGTGTGTTGATGCCAGGTTGTAATCTGGTTTCAGTAGCTTCCCATCCCATCACTGAGAACCCCATGCATACTTCTGAGTGATGGGGATAACCCCTCAAGCTGTAAGATGCTCATTTGGGACTGGAAAAAATCATATTCTAGTTCACATTCTGGCATGATCTTGGGCAAATTACTTTGTTACCCTGATGCCTACATTCTCTAAACAATAACCAGACACAATGATAGTAAAGTGGTGTTGTCAGGCTAAATGCAACATAAATTGTGAGGCACTCTATAGTGATGAAAGCTATTGAAAATCTCAGGTAGAATTTAGTCTTCATGTCAAAGATTCATTTTTCACTTTACTAAGTTAATCCAGAATCATTGTGACTACCTCAGATCACTACAATATCCAACATGAAACCAGCATAACTTGGCAGAGACAAGATTCAAGATGCCAGGAATAGTGTGTGTTGCTACACACACAGATGGAACAGTAACATTCATTAACACAAAAGAAAGCATTGTCTTTAAAGACCTTCACAATGCAACCAACATATGTACTGAGCCTTGCAAGGATATGCATCTGAATTATTAACAGTATCTTTCTACTGGTTTTCAACAGCATTTAACTTAGGCATACAAGTCATTAACAGTTTTTGCAACAGGCCCAGGAATAACCCAGAACGGCAGCGGGAGATGAATGTGGTGTAGATTCACCTAAGAATCCAAAACTTTAATGCAGCCTCTCCATTCCCCAGCGGCAGGATTTTAAGGTACAGAGGGGATAAAAGTACAGTAGCTTGTGTGCTTGTAGGTAGCAGTGTGGATTGGTGTAACTGTTGTTGGACATCTGTTACTGCTTAATTTGAAAGAGGTGAGGTGGGGAGTAAGGATCATAAAAAGATCCTGGGTGAGTTTGCAGCAGCTAAATATTGTAGCCATTGTTCAAACCTGTTAAAAAGTAGGTATAAAAATCCAAGGGTGTAGCAATACTAAACTTTTGCCAGAAAATGCTTCCGAAATAGTACTGCTAGGCATTCCAGAAGTCATCGACTGTATTTCTGCCTTTGCAAAGTATTAATAAAAAGTTTATGTAATGGGACTCTGTGTACTACACTACTTTGTAGGGGAAGAAACAGAAATTTTTCCTGACTAAGGTTTCCTCAGAAACTTCTCCAAGAAAGACAGAAAGAAAATAGAAAGAAAGGAAAAGAAACCAATGACCTTGCACAGCGAGAGGAACAGTAAAATCAGGAGATATAGGCTTCCCCTGTACCAGCTGATAGGCAAACGTGTATTTAGATGACAACTTGCAGGTTAAGGACCTTAAGTAAGCAAAAAAACCATTGTTTTCTACAGCTTCTTGAAAAGTGCCATCATGTTCTACCACGCCAATGGTCTGCAGATAATAGGAGTTCTCAGAGGTTTTTATACATCCCTTCCACTGAGTTCCTAACATAATGCTCCTTGCATTTCTACCAAATTACAGTGGTCCTTGAGGACCTGTGGAGGAAACGGACTGGATTTCAGTAGAATAATTTTAAATAGTTTACAAAACTTACTCCGTAAATCCTAAAGCGATGCGATTAAGGTTTAAGAACAAAATACACATACACAAGAATAAATTAATGGTTTTATAATTGACATTGAAATATTCAGAAATACCTTTCTGCTCTCTTTGAGATCTTCTTCCTGTAGAGTGTAATGCAGAAAGAAGGGAACTTTGCCTTGCATTAAAGCATGTGGTCTAGTACACCTATGTGTAAGTTTGTATGGCTAACATTAAAAGATGGTAGACCTGACTCCTGTGGGTTTCCCCCAGACCAAGGATATTCATTTAACATAGTTTGGATGATTTAATTATATCTAACAAGTAAATATTACTCACATATTAATAGGAATAACCTATAGCAGTAATGGAAAATCAATCTGTCTGTCTGTTTTGCAAAGCTTCCAAGAGATAAGAAGCAATAACCTATCATGAAAGGGATCACAGTGTGGGAGAAGGAGAACACATAAAGACGAGATATGATCCCATTCCTCTGGATCTCTTACAAGTGACCACAAACGATGGAGGCAGTTTAAAATGATGCAACATTCTGGAGAGACAGATAAGCTTTGCAACTTCCTTTAACCTGAATTTTAATAGTAAATCTGACAAAAATTCTTAATGTAAGTTGTGACGAGGCTCCAAGAGTCCTGTGATGTTAAATAGTGTCTTACTGAAGCCTCAGCTACATCCTTCTATACAGTGGGCAGTGTTTAACAGAGCCTTGCTCTTAATGTCCTTGTCTCATCTTTCTCGTGTACGAAAAGGTATTTAAGAAATGTCTCCTATCAAGCCATCTATGATATAAGGGATCCCTGTGCACCTGAATACATAACGGAGTCAACTATACTCACTCTCTTTGCATGGAAGTTCCAT